GTGTGCGTGCGTGTGTGTGTGTGTGTGTGTGTGTGTGTGTGTGTGTGTGTCCGTGTGTCCTCCTGGCAGCAAGTTTCCTGTGTATTTTTTGCTAATTGGACTGGAGACTCCTCCCCAACCCGCCCCTAGTCATCCCTGGAATGTTTTGCTCCAGTGCCCCTGCCTGAGCCCTCCCCTCCCTACACAGCCTGCAATGAGGTTTTCTTTTCCACTGTTTGAATTATATCCCTAACGCAAGGGTTCACAATTCTCTGAATCCTGGCTACCCAGAACAGGGAGGAAGGGAGGAAGAGTATTAGCTCACAGGGAATCCAAATCCTGCCTTCATGAGGTTTTGAGACAATAACATCATCAATATTACATGAACGTTTGAGATACTAAGAAGTTAGATTCTGTCATTCCAGGAGGTTGAGAAATGGGGGACTGTTCTGGGAAATATCAATAGACTGAGAAAATAAAAACACTTCCTGGAAAGGCCTTTCCATAACACACAACCGAAGGGCCTCACTTTTTTCTCCTTATTCCTGTCTCTGTCTCTGTTTCTGTCTGGTTTTAGGCCAACTCAACTTTTGAAGAGCTGGAGCGCCTTCGGAAGGTGGTCAAAGCCTGGGAAGAAGTAGGGCCACAGATCTGGCACTTCTTTGACAACAGCACACAGATGAACATGATCAGAGTATGGATGAACTGGAGGATGGGGAGAGGAGGGGAGGGGAAGCGCCAGGAAAGTTCCATGTTTCTTTTTCCCAGGAAAGAGTTAATTGCTACTGGAGTTAGGTCAAAACATAACAAGCAGGTCCCAAATGCCCTCAGATACTGTCACCAAGTGGGACCTGATTTTGGGTGATTTTGGGTGGAAAATGTTTCTTGAATTCTAGGCAAATCTGGAAGCTGCCACAAGATCAGTGGCTTCCTGAAGTTTCTTGCTTTTATAAATTCACTCAAGGGGCTCGGATTTAAAGAGGCTTCTCCTCCAGGGGCCAGCTCTGTAACTACAAAGATAGCTGAGGGTATCTGGTCTCGCCTCCAGCTTTGCAAAGCCAAGCCAAGAGTTCTGAATAACAGGGATAATCCAAAGAGAACCAACAAGTCCACAAGCAAAAGAAGGCTTCCCAGATGCCAGAAGGATCCTCACTGCTTTTTCCACTCACTATTCTCCCATTCAAAAAAAACAAACAAAACAAGAAATCTTCCCAGATGACATTTTCCATGACTCTTCCCCTCCCCTGCCCCATATGTGCCTTCCCTTATTATGGAGACCCATGTCTTGGGGAAAACAGGATATAGACAGGTATGCCTTATAGTGCGAAAACCTCACTCGCTTTTCAGGTATGCTTAGCGTCTCTATCCTTAATCATTAAAAATTAGAAATGACCTAAAAACAAGACCTAAGAGCCTGTGGAGCTTCTAAGCTGTGACTGTATTTCTTCTTCCCAAGGATACCCTGGGGAACCCAACAGTAAAAGCCTTTTTGAACAGGCAGTTTGGTGAAGAAGGAATCACTGCCGAAGCCATCTTAAACTTCCTCTACAATGGTCCTCGAGAGAGCCAGGCTGAAGACACAGCCAACTTCGACTGGAGGGACATTTTCAACGTCACTGACCGCACCCTCCGCCTGGCTAATCAATACCTTGAGGTAAGGGGCGGCAAGGAACCTGAGGCCACAGCGAGCCCCTTGAAGGTGACCCTGTGGGTGGGGCTAGAGTCCCCATGGCAAATTAATTGGTCTTGAGTTTAAGCTTTTGTTGTCTCCACTGAAGAGATGAGAATTCACACAGCCCCGTTCCCTAGCAGCTTACCCACACTGAAAACTTCTCCATGCTTAGAACTGCTTCCTCTTCACATCTCCTGCCTCCTAATGGGTCTGTGACTACTCCTTGGCTGGCAGCCCTTGAAGCACCCACATCTGCCTTCAACCCTCTCCTGTCTTCCTTGCTTCATTGGCCACCTATGCCCAGTGTCCACAAATCTCAAGGTCTCCTGCTTGCTGGACACTCCCGTCCAGGTGCTACAAGCACAGCAGACACAACAGGCCCCAAAACAAAATGACTTTCTTCTCGCCCATTAAACCCGCCATCCCATCCCTTCGCATTCGCATCCTGACTCACATCAGCAGCGTCTGCCGGCATTCTAGGCCAGGGATTTCAGGGTCATCCTTAATTTTCTTTCGTCTCCACCCTCCACGCAACAGCTGTCATTTGTTGATTGTTACTTTGTGCTTTCACATGCATTCCCTCCTTTAATCCTCACAGAAACTCCATGGAGCATGCACTGTTATCACAGCCAATTTACAGAGGCAGAGGCCGAGGCTTAAAGAGGTTCAGTGAGACTTCATGACATGGTTGTTGAGAGCAGCAAGCAGGACCCGGGTCTGGGTGTGTCCGAATCCAGAGCCTGCCCTCTGATCTCTCTCAGTCACTCTGTCTCCTCTCCCTCCTGTCTCTCAGCCCTGCCTTGCCCTTCCAGGCTCTCTGAGGCCTAGAGGCCTGGTCATCCCTGCACGAGGGGTCCAGCCTCTGTCAGCTCAGCCTCTCTCCTTGCTGACACCAGAGCTGCATTCCAAACACACATCTGCTTGCATCTCTTCTGATGACTCAGTCCCCAAAGAACACCAGTCCCTTCCAAATCTGCCCCACCCACCTTCCCAGCCACCACTCACTGAACATCCAGGCCCTGTCACACCCCCAGGCATTCCATGACCTCTTGGAATTTCACCCTTTACAAATGCTGTTTTCACTGCCCCTTGCTAGAGCTCTTTTGGTCACAGGATTCTTTTGCTTAAACACGAAAAAAAATGTATTATGTGAGTTCAGGGAGATCTCAGAGTTGCAGGCCACCACAGGACCCTGTGTCCCTCGGACTCACCTTTCTTCCTGCTTCTGCCATTTCATTCTTGGCCAGTCCCTCTCTGTGGTGGTGTGTCAGCAGCTCACAGTCCCTGGTGGTCATCTATGTACCAAAAATTCCACAGAAAGAGGAAATTACTTTCCCACAGTAGAAGCAATACTCCCTGCTGCCTGGCTCTGTGTCCTCTTCTGAGTCCCTAGGGGGAGATACTGGACTCAGATTGGGAGGGCCGGGTCATCTGCCCACCATGGAGGGCATTGCTGTGAGCAGGATGACTGTGATGAGAAGGAAGGTGTTTCTTCCAAAGAAGAAACACACAGTAGAAAAATATATGTCCACCAAAGCCAGAAGGGATGTCCCTGTCCCTGGCTGGACTTCCATTCATTCTTTGAGACTCAGCTCTCAGATTTTACCTCCACCTTGACATAGGTTCGTCATTCACTCCTCTGTGCTTCCTGGCCCACCCTCACACCTCTCACAGACCCCTGCCTAAGTTAGATTAATGTGTCCATTTCTGGTGGAGCAGCTAGACTGGAGTGACCCAGCACCAGGAAGCACATAGTCATTTTCAAGTTCTCAACCTTGTAACCGCAGGGAACATTTCATCTAAGAGCTGATCACACTAGCTCATGGACCAGGTCTGGGCTGCATGGCACCTAGAACCATTAGAAGGTAGAAGATACTCTGAGCCATAGGAGAGGGAATCAAGCTGAGGACCCTCAGGAGTAAGCCCTCCCATCCCAAGCCTGTGGGTCCTGATTATGGCTAACTAGTGACTTTCTCTGTCACTGAGTGGTTTTGAGTACTCCCTGCTGCTGGTGCCCCCAGAATTTCCCCAGAGCGTATGACTCTTCCTCTCTGAAACCCTGGAAGTGGCAGCACGTCCTTCCCAGATGGCCTTTCAGAAGGTCTCAGCCATGGTGGTAGCAACACCAGAGTTCAGGCAGTGACTAAATGATTTCCAATTTGTTCGAAGGCAAGAATGACTTTGAGTGCTTTTTACAGAACAGATTCTTGGGCATCAACCCAGATCAACTGACTCAGAATTTCTAGGGAAGAGGACTGGTTATCTGCATTTTTACTGTGCCAATTTTTGGGGCCTTGGGGTTCCCTTGTATAGTTTTCTCAGTTGACATCATCCTCCTTTTATGGGACCTCGACCTGCTAAACCCATGTCCCTGGCTGGGCCCACCATCATCTACCCACTGTCATCATGACAGACAGGCCCTGAGCAGGGATGTGGGTAGAGGAGAGGGCTCTTCCTTTATTTTTACCGATGGAGTTCAGTGGTTCTCACAACATTTTTGTGTGGTACTATAAAGAATGCTTCTGCTTGACTTGACATTTGTGTCATGACATAAATGTCTTATTTCCTTGAAGGATGATTTTTCCATGTAGCTTATGCTTAATACAGCACCTGGCACCCAACAGTACTTAATATACATAAACTGCTTAAAGGATTAAAAATTCAGTCTCTGGACCCAGACTTCCTGGGTCCAAATCCCTATTCTTTATGCCTCTGTTTCTACATCTATAAAATGGAGATATTAAGAGTAGTTATATAGTAGGCTTGTTATGTGAATTAAATGAGCCAGTTCATGCCAAGCGCTGACATATAGTGAGTGCTTAAAAATGTTAACATTTTAATAAAATATAAACACACAAAAATATTGCCCAGGCAGAAGAGTGGCAGCCATGTACATTGGGCCCAGCCTAGGAATCATGAAGCTGCTGGTCACCTGCTGCCTCAGCCACCAGGATGTCAGAGGGTCTCCAGGCAAAAGTCTCCTGGGGGACTTCTGAGAGGGGTTATTGGTGGTGGCAGGAGCCCAGCAGGTGTGATGATGTGGTTTCTGATCGTCCTGCTCTCCGGGGTGGGGGGCAAGGAGAAAGCCAGGGAGGAATGAAATGAAAGGAGGAAGTGGACAGTGAGGAGGAAACCGGTTCCTGCAGTTGTCCTGGTGTTTTCTGCTTGTTCTTGGCTTTGGAAAGTCAGGAGGAGCCTGGAAAATTCCCCACTCCTACCTGAGGGTTGCTGAGCAGCTGACTGGCCACAAGGATGGATGGCTCCCAGGCCTCTGCATGGGAAAAACCGCATGTCCCCTTGTTAGCTAGGAGTGGCTCCTCGTCTGCTGGGGTAGGAGCGGGGAGGTGGTGACGCCCTTGTTTCTGGGGCCTGTGAGGATGGAACAGGAGTGCCAGGCTGACACTGGAGACCAGTGGTGGCACCTGCTGTTGACCCATGAACTGTGACCCAAGTGAGAAATGTACCTTTTTCTCAAACTCAAAAAACTTGCGTAAACATTAACCGGGAAATGTAAAACCACTCTGCATATCATCCTTAGTGAGTTGGCATAGAGTCAGGATGCGTTAGGTCGCTCTTAAGGGCCCAGGACAGTGGTCTGGCCACCATCTGGCATTTTGTGGACACTGGGCCAGTGGTTCTGAAGCCTTCCTATCCATGGACCCCTCCTCAATAAGGGCTTCTATGATCCTGTTCACCCCATAACCATGCGCTTTTTCCTCAGATCCCCTGCCCTGAGCAAGGGGAAACAAGCAAGTCAGACCCCTGGTTACAAGGTGGCCGTGGGCTAGGAAAAGGGGTGGTAGTGGATGTGGGAACCACACACCTCACGGGGGGTAGACTCACTTCCACAGGCTTTCCGGTCACCCTTGTCTCCAAACCTAAGGAGACAGAGGCAAGGGAGTCCTTGTATAGGTCAATGTCTTAAGCTGGTCCGTGTATACTTTTATACTTCTCATTTGTATTATCTTTATTCATATATATTTTGCTTCTGGAGAAATGCACAACTAGAAAATTAATAAATTCTTCCTCTGATGACTTTTAGTTGAAACAAACATTCCTACCCTGCCTTTTTTGATTTATTTGTTTAGCAAAAGGCTGGGCCTGGCACAGATGAAATATTATTAGGAGTTCACGGTATATTTTCATTTCATACTATATTCGAATTTTAGGTCTTGAATTTCATATTCAAGAATTCAGAAGCTGAATTCTGCCAGACTCTAATATAAAAGTACCTCTGATCAAGGCATAAAGTTGTACTTCAGCTAGTAACAGCTATATTTCTCTAAGCCTTGAAAAAACTTGTGTTCACTAGTAGCTTTTTCCTCTGTCAGCACAGTCCATATGTGCTCACGACTCATTATTATCCAGATGGTGATTATCTTGTTGGTGAATTATCAGCAGCCAGAGTTTTTGGACTATTTTTTCTCTGCACCTTGGGTGCTCCTGCCACCTGCCACTGCCATCCAACCAGAGTGTACTCAGAGAAGATTTTTTTAGACTAGCCTCAGAATAAAGAGGATTAGGAAGGTGAAGCCGCAATCACAGAACATATTTTAGAGTCAGAGTATAGGTATTTGCGAATTATCTGTCCTGTTGCTTTCTTCTGTCAATTCTGTGACTCCAGATATGCACTGAGAGGCTGGGGAGAAGTCAGGGAGTGTTAGGAAGAGGACAGGAGTCTATCCCACACAAGCAAGGTTGATTCAAGGGCCAAGAACTAGACCCTAAGCACCTCACAGACAATGACCTTATGATGTACCTCTTCAGTCTCTCAGAAACATAAACCTGGGCTGAGGATGGAAAATGCAGGAAGGGGTAGTCTGGGGCCATAGGTAGAGAAAACGGACTCACATTGAGCCTGCTCTGAGACAGCCACATGCTGGCATTTTTTCATGTCATCTCATGAAACACTCCTAACTACCTGCCCAGTAGTCATCATTGTTGCCATTTTATAGAATTAAAAACAGTCTTATGAGGTTGAC